GCTGGGGCTGGAGTAGGCTCTGCGCTTCAGATGGGGTGGGACAGAGCCTAAGGTGATCTAAGGTGTGGGGGGTGGGGGCTGCTCATCTGGGAGTGCATGGGGGGCATGTGTGCTGGGAGGCAGCTACAGGGAGGGGCTGCAGCCACCCCAGGTTTCACTGTCGCCCCCTCCCAGTGCCACCGCCCACTCACCCTGAGCACAGTGCAGCTCAGCCACTGGCCCCAGCTCCCCCACCCCCTACAGCTGCAGCCCCCCCATCCCACCCAGATCTGGGGGCACATGCCCCTGCCCCCCATGCTTTCCTGGACAAGTGGTGGGAGCAGCAGCAGAAGCCCCACCGGATGAGCAGGCAAGCACCAGACGAGCCGCCAAACGAGTGGTGCGCAGCCGTGGGAGCCTCCCCACAACCTGTGCCCCCCCAGACAAGCCGTGGCTCTGTCCCAGGCCTGCCCCGCCCCAACTGGGCAGCGCTTGCCCCAGCCCCACTCCTCCCTCACCATGGGGTCCTTGATCTGCACCCCCACACCCCTTCTCTCCTCTTTCACCGCAACAGACTATCAGCTGCACGCAGCTGTATCAAAAATCAGATCATTATCGTCTAATATGCCTCCTTAAAAATCAGCTATTGGTATTGGCCTCCAAAATGTCTATTAGTGCACCCCTACTTGACATATGACCATCAATCTAAAATTTGTTTTAAAATACTTCTGGCACCAGATCCTCTGGAGGTTCCCATCTACAAAGTTATCTGCCTTATGGCAATGTTTTTAAGAAATGTCTCTTTCGAAAGACATGTCAGCCTGAATTTTTTTCAGAGATGTTGCATCAAAAAACTGCAGAGAAAATTCAAAGCCTATAAAAGCAAAACCAGTATGAAAGTACACCTTATTTGTCTATCTATTCAAAGGGGGAATCTGGAATTTACGCTCTATTTTTAACTTGCCTTTTGAACTCATTCCTAACTGTAGAAACACTAGCAGGAACCTCCATCGTGTTGAGGAATTTTTGCATGCTTCCCAAAGTGAGCAGTATTGTTTGAAACACAGACAGAATATTGCCATTTTCAGTACTTTTTAAGCTGGTCAAATCTGAACAGATTTGTATGAGGGCAGCAAAATACACCTTGCTGACCCAAGGCATATCTCCCTGCTAGATTACAGAGGACTAGTGCAAACAATGTTAGTTTAAAATGCCTCAATGTTAGTTTAAAATGCCTCAAAAATGCGAAGTTGCTGTCAGCTCTACTTTTACACAGTAACAACTATAACATCTCCTTCAAAGTAGTAGTAGAAGAACTACCCAGTACATTTGGGCTTAATACAGCAGGATCTGAAGGTGATGGATGGTACCTGCAATATTTATTTCTCTTGCTTCCCCCATTTGTATATCAAGCTATTAAAGACATCTGAAGGATGTTTTAATTAAGCAGTTAATTGAACACTAATGCTGTTTACTTTTACCTACCTAAATGGCACTTGTGTAGCTGCAAGTTTTGGCACTTTTGCACAGATTGTGCATTGTATATGCATCTATCCAGCTTCTACACTTCCCTACTGGGCATAGTCAGTAGGCTACACTCTGGCTATGTAAGTGCCTAGGTACACATGTAATTCTGGGTAAGTTTTGAAACTTTAATTGCAGAGAAAACTATGACTAGCTAGTGTGGGGAGAGCGCACCCACCTTTTAACTTAAAAGCCTAAATGGTAGGGCAATTGCCAGGGAACATAAAACCCAGGTTCTCGGGCCCTCCCTCAGAGCTGGTATGAACCTATGTCACTCACTGCCCAGCAAAGTGTTGTAACTACTGGGCTGTGGAGTATACCAGGGGTGGACAAAGTACGACCTGTGGGCCAGATCTGGCCCTCCAGGCATGTTCATCTGGCCCATGGGCACCCACCAACAAATTGTACCCCACCCAGCCCTTCCACCCACAAGGGTAGGAGTTAGGTGCCCACATATACCCGACCCCTCCCCAACATACCTTATTGCACCTCACTCCCACTCTCATGGGTGGAAGGGCCCAGCCTGGCCAGCAGCAGTTTCCAGGTGCGGATGCTGCTGCCACTGCTGCAATCACCTCGGGGGGATCTGCTGTGCTTCCCCAGTGTCCCACTTGCTCTGGGCAGGAGGTAGGGAAGTGATGGGGGCAGGGCAGGGGCGGGGGTGGAGGGCAGGGCAGGGGGAAGTGATGGGGGCAGGGCAGGGGTTGTCAGCAGTGCGGAGCCCTTACCCAAGGGGTGGCAGGAGTATAGAGCTCAGCTGAGCAAGGTGTGGGTGTGAAGGAGAGTGGGGGGCATGGGGACCCCCCCCACACACAGCATGCAGTCCCCACTGCCAGCAGCAGCAGCAGGCAGGGGCAGTCAGGGAGCTTGTGTCCCACAGGCAGTGGCTCCAGCCAACGCTGTACGTGGAGGCAAGGAGCGCAGACTGTCCAGCCCACCTCCATTGCAGGGGCTACGCATGGCACACCTTCATGTCCCACACTTGCGCAGCCCTGGGGGAAGCCCCTCACTGAAGCCGGCTGCCTTTCCTGCCCCCTGCTGTGCAGGTCCCAGGGCTCTGGGGGATGCAAGGGGGTGGGGAAAGCAGCCAGCTCCAGTGCAGGGCTTCCCCTGGAGAAAGTGCGGGAGCTGCAGGCACACCGTGTGGAGCCCCTGAGATAGCAGCAGGCCGGGCAGGCTGCTCTTCCCACCCCTTTATGCAGCACGGGCTGGAGCTGTATAAGGCAGGTGCCAGCTCCTGTGCAGGGCACAAGCACCCCAGGCACCCCTGCCAGCTGCTGCTGCTGGCAGTAAGGGTTGTGCATCATGTGGGGGAGTGTGTGGGAGGTTCCCACACCCTGGTACCACAGTCTCCCCACATACACACCCCCACCCCAACCACACCCCACACCTCCACACACAATATACAAGAGTAACATTTTATTTTTTATTTATTATGCAATACCCTCCTATATACAGTATGAAAACACAAATCATGACAATTTTTACTGTAATAAAATTAAAATAGGTTATAGTAAGCATTTGACTTTTAGTGTGTGATTTGTTTTTTTTTTGGTTCCAAGGTGGCAACCCTTCCCTCCCAAAAAAAGTGTTTCCAAGGGGCAAAGGGAAGAACTTCTGATGGCAAAGGTCAGGGGTTAGGGGGCTGGACTTCTGGTCCCAATATGGCAACCAAGGGGTGGGGCTACCCATACGGCCCTTGGCAGCTCACCAAAACTCGTTAGTGACCATCAAGGCAAAATAATTGCCCTCCCCTGGATTGGCCATTGCCCTTTGCACCCTCCAGCCCTCCTCTTGAAGATGGACCACTAGGAAGCCCGGAAGCCCAAAGAGAAGAGTATGTGGAACCAAGAGAAGAAACCAGAGGGTGGGCAACTTGGTGAGATGGATGTTGCCCTAAAAAGAAGGGGATTCTGGCCCTGGCCTCTGTACTCAATAGTTCAAAGTGTCTCACTGTTGCTTATTCATTTTTAAATTAAATGCAAGATAAAGTGATGCTCTGAACATTACTTAGCTTGTACTTGTTGTTTTGAGCACTTTATTGAGAAGCAGGAGAAGGAACTTCAGATCCACTCTGGGTGAGGAGCCTTGTGTCTCCTGCTCCCTAGACAAGTGCCTGAGATGCTAGAAAATTGGGCTAGAAGCAGGGGCCCTCATCTTTGATTTCACCCATAGGGCAGTTGTATTCTGCCACAGGTAGATGTAGAATCCAGATACTATGCAAGGGCCAGACATTGCAGTTACATGGTTATGTAAGTGCTACTTACAGATGTAAAGGATGTTACCTTTAGTGTGTAGAATAATTTGATTGTTTCAAATTATGGTAAACAGGACCCTCTGTGAACCACCTGTCTTTTATTTCTAGGTCAGGACACTCTTTGTGAGCGGCTTGCCTCTGGACATCAAGCCTCGGGAGCTGTATCTGCTTTTCAGACCATTCAAGGTACCATATCTCAACACTACCGAAGTGCTGGCATCTGAGTATTACTCACATTACTGTGTCTGAAATGCTCCTCCATACAATCTTAACAATGTAGTCACTTCTTGTACACCTAATAGCAGAAAGAAATGCAGGAGACCTTAATAGATCTGAGAAATAAAAAGTGACCCCCCACCACCACCACTGTGGCAGATCATTGAGCTGAGAGAGGTATCCCAGGCTCCGCCACAGATCTTAGCAGTAGACCTCATCTTAGTGTAGTAATTAGAAATCGAAACTAGGTTTGTGATTAAGGCACTGGGATGGGACTCTAGAAATCTAGGTCTCAAGACTCTCATGGATATCCAGTTTTTACACAGGGGAAGTTCTCTACAACTAATGGTCAGTAATGATGGGGTGTTGCAGCTCTCATTAACTTCAGTTGGGTGCTCCATCATTTCTGACAGCCTTTAATTTCTATCTGCTTCCATCCTCCATTTGTTCAGTGAGGACAACACCCTTCTCAGTGGACTGTGGTGATGAGAAATTCACCTATGTTGATGATATACTTGGGTATTACAGTCATGAGAGATATAGAAATACCTATACTGAAATAGTGGTAATATCCCCTGCATTAGGCAGGGCTCTATTTTATCACTGAAGAAGTAGCTTATCTCCTGTTTCCATACAACACCCCCACCCCCTCTGCCTAGCTCTCCAAACTCTGCCTAGCTTGGCAGTAACTGCCAACTGAAGGGAACTAAAAACTGTCTCTTCATATTTGCAAGTATAACAACCAAGGACAGAGGAACTGTTTAAAATAATCCAGGATGGTGAAACTAACAATAATATGTTGTTAAGCTCAGAACTCTGTAGAATAGGGGTGTCAAACATAATATGTGAACTGAATCTGGCCCGCAGGTGTTATTGTCCCAGCTACTGGTAGGGATGTGAAAAGTTAAACAGTTAATAAGACCAGTGATAATCAGTTGGCTTACTGGTTATTGCTTAGCTTGAGGAGGGTGCAGTCTAGTAGGGAAGGGGGAAGGGAAGGGAAGCTCCGCGGTGCCCCAGCAGGAACCAGAAGGTGGCAGGGCAGGTGGGAGGGAAGAGGGAGGAGTAAGGAGGAGGGAAGGGGGAACTAGTACCCATAGCCTAAGAGGAAAACAACAGACAGCCTAATGATTCATCAATTAAGCAATTAGCTGCTTATCCACAAATGCTCCCTCCTTCCCAGAGCAGGACTTCACCTTGGGTTGCCACCCCTCCCAGATTGGCTGGGAGTCTACTGGAATTGACATCGATCTCCCAGTGACTGTTGAAAGAAATCTGGGAGATTGATATTGTGAACGGGTTGAACAGTACAATAAATGACAAGAGGTGCATTGACTGTGGAATAAACTTCCTCCAGAGGTGGTGCAGTCACCTACCCTGGAGGTTTTCAAGAGGAGACTAGACAGTCACCTCGTTGGGGTCACCTATCCCCGGTTGTCTTCCTTCCTAGAGCAGGGGGGCTGGACCCAGTGATCTGCAAGTTTCCTTCCAGCCCCTAACAATTTATGAACTATGAAAGAGCAGCTTGTCCAGCGGGTGAGGGGGGGGGTATGTGCTTCCTGCCACTACACACACCCCGGCAGGGCATGGGGGGGCATGTGCCCCTGGACCTGCATGCGGGGCAGGGGCGGGGGCAGGCTGAGGCGGGGGTGGACCTGGTAGTACAAAGAGATGAGACTAGTAAGACAAGACCTGCCTGCAACAAAGCCATGCTGGCTGTCATTCAGAATCTTACCTTCCATGAGTGTATCGCACATAAATTCTTTAATGAGCTTTTCCATGATTTTCCCTGGGAGGGAGGTTAGGCTAATTGGCCTATAGTTGCCTGGGCCCTCCCTCTTCCCCTTCGTGAAGATGGGCATACTGTTGGCCCTCTTCCAGTCCTTAGGGATTTTCCCTGTGTGCCACGATTTCTGAAAGAGCTTTGCCAGGGGTTCTGCAATAACCTCAGCCAGCTTCATCAGCACCCTTGGGTGAAGTCCATCCGGTCCTGCTGACTTATAAATGTCTAGCTTATGTCTAGAAATGTCATGGCTCAGTCCCACTTTCTGCCCTAGTTGTGTATTGCCTGCCCCTGTCCCAGCCCCACTCTCTCCCTCACCACAGGGGCCTTGATATGCGCCCCCCACTCCCCTTCCTTCCCCCCCTCACTGCTTTCCCCACCAACAGACTTACCAGCCAGGCACTGCTCTCCAAGCTGCCTGGCTGCATATTGGCAATTGGATCAGTATCTGCCAATACGGTTTGTTAAAAATCGTCCATTGGTATCACCCCCCCCCCTTATAATCTCTATTGCTGCACCCCTATTAATGACATTACATCATGTTGGGGAAAAAATAAATCTCCCAGAATAGCTTCAGTCAGAGTTGGGAACCTTAACTTCACCTGGGCTATTTTGTTGTCCACCTGCGTTTGCCACCATCTCCTTCCCCCACCCCAGCCCGTCCTCAAAGGGCTTCAAAAGTGTCTCACAGCAGCAGCTGTATCCCTGTAGTTAACTATAGAAGGTTAAACAAATATTTTTTTAAAACAATATTTACATCCCTAGCTGCTGGAGCCCCTGTGGTAGCAGTGTTAATCCCAGCAATTTCGGCTTGGCTCCTGAGCCCAGCAGGTTAATGCCACTCAGCCCTCATCCTCCACCTACTTACTCACTGCTGAAATTGAGGTTTTTAGTTCAGCCTGTTGACTAAGATCAGCAGGGAAAAGGAACAGGGTGTGAGTGTTGGTGGTGTTAACCCCCTGGGTTCTGAAGTTCTGCCAAAACAGCAGCCTCAGCAAACATAGGGGGTTAACGCTGCTGCTGTTTGCAGGTTGTCTGGGCTGCAGGAAGGCCCACAGTCTGCATCCAGTCTGTGGAGCACAACAACTTTGATATCCCTGGTGTAGATGAAGGATATCAACGGATCATCAGGCACTTTAAAAGTGCTATAAAAATTAAGAGACAAAGGACACATGATGCTATAATGCTACAAATCAACCCAAAACATATAACAATCAGGGCTGTCCAATTTCTAAGCACCCATTGGCTACACACCATGCAGATGCCCCCACTCCTCCCAAACAAGGTTTTTTGGGTAAATTTGATATCTTTTTAGACAAACTAAATAGTTGGAAAAATTGTTCTTTGCAGGCTTTTGGGCACGAACATCCTTCTTTAGGCATACTGAGAGTCTGCTGGTGACTTGTGCCTTGATATGCCTGAAGAAGGGTGTTTGTGCCCGAAGGCTTGCAAAGAACAATTTTTCCAACTATTTAGTTGGTCTAATAAAAGATATCACATCTACCCAAAGAACCGTATCTGCCTGTGTCAGGGGCAGGCAATTATTTTGGCTGGAGGGCCGCTTAACAAGTTTTGGTGAGCTGCTGGGGGCCGCATGGGTAGCCTGACCCGTGACATTTGCCCTCCCCCTGGTTGACATTTTGGGACCCGAAGTCCAGCCCCCTAAGCCTTGACCTTTGCCACCGGAAGTCCCTCCCCTTCCCCTGGAAATACTGCTTTTGGGAGGGGGGGTTGCCATCTTGGAACCAGAAAAAAAACAAATCATACACTAAAAGTCAAACACCTACTATAACCTATTTAAATTTTATTACAAAAAAATTGGCATGATTTGTGTTTGCATACTGTATATAGAGGGTATTGCATAATAAATAAAAAATAAAATCTTACTTTTGTATATTGTGTGTGGGGATGTAGGGTATGGTTGGGGTTGGGGTGTGTGCATATTTGTTGGGATGTGGTGGTGCGTGGGGGGGTTGTGAGGGGATGTTGCTGTTGGTGTGTATATGTGGGGAGGTTGTGGGGGCAGGGTGTAGGAATCCCCCACACACTCCCCCACATGGCACACAGCCCTCACTGCCAGCAGCAGCAGCTGGAAGGGGTGTTTGGGGTTCTCATGCCCTGCATAGATGCCAGCACCCAGTGGCATGCAACTCTAGCCTGTGCTGCATGACGGGGCACGGAGTGCAGCCTGTCTGGCCCACCGTTATCTCAGGGGCTCTGTGCATTGTGCCTGTAGCTCCCACACTCACTCCAAGTGAAGCCTTGCACTGGAGCTGGCTGCCTTCCCCACCCCCTTGCTTCCCCCAGAGTCCTGGGACCTGCACAACAGGGGGTGGGGAAGGCAGCTGAAGGCATGCCGTGAATAGCCCCTGCAATACAGGGGGGCTGGGCAGTCTGCGCTCCTCACCTCCACGTACAGTGCTGGTGGGAGCCACGCACCACCAGGCGTCAGTTCCTATGGGGCATGAGCATCCCAAGTGCCCCTGCCTGCTGCTGCTGCCATCAATGGGGGCTGTGCACTATGTGGGGGATTGTGTGGGGGGTCCCCATGCCCCCCCATTCTCCTTCATACCTACCCTCTGTTCAGCTGAGCTCTGCACTCCCGTTGCCCCCAGTGCATGGGCTTTGTGCTGCTGCCAGCCCCATGCTCCCTGCCCCATCCAGCTGCAGCTCCCTTACACCCACCCCTGCCCTGCCCCACCCCTCCCGCTTCCCTAGCTCCTGCCTGGAGCTAGTGGGACACTGGGGAAGCCAAACAGGAACCCTGGGGTGGCTGCAGCACTGGCAGGAGGATCCTCACCCGGAAACTGCTGCTAGCTGGGCCAGGCTCTTCCACCCATAAGGGTGGGAGTGAGGCAAAATAAGGTATATTAGCAGGGGTGTATATGTGGGCACCTTGCTCCCACCCTCAAGAGTGGAAGAGCTGGGCGGGGTACAATTCCTTGGTGGGTGCCCATAGACGAGATGAAAGTGCCTGGAGGACTGGATCTGGCCCGTGGGCCGTAGTTTGCCCACTCCTGGCCTATGTCTTTAGACCAACACAGCTACAACCCACTCCTACCATGCATCTGTGCTTCCTCCACCACCCATGCACTGCGTGCAGATCCTCCCAGCACTCACTACTGCACGGTGCACCCCCTACAATGCACTATGTGCCCCCCCCCCACCACTGCATTGGGTGTCCCTA